TGCTGAACTGTTTTTTAAAGCATGTCAAATAATCCAAATGAAACAAAAGCAGAAATCAGAAAATTGCTATTTGAAGATGGTGCTGACCACCATGACCAATGAAAAGAAGAGGAACTATGAGTGGTTAACGCCATAATCATGGATCTTATTTCTTGGGTACTTCCTGCGGGCCGCACAGCAGGCTGAGAGCCTTTACATATCTCATTAGTCCTCACAACAGGCTGTGAGGTCATTATTACTGTCCCCATTTACAGGTGGGTAAAGTGAGGCATAGAGAGACAAATTGACCAAGTTTTATAAGAGGGAGCCAGGATTTAACTCACAGCTTCCTGATTTTAAAGCTGATGCTTTCCACTATATCATGATTCCTTTCATGGTTATGTTTGGAGAGTCAAGAGATGTTTCTAAAATGCTGGTGTTCACACAGACCTTTCTTTTATGAATCCTGCTAGGTTGTCCTGCCTCTCTCCTCCCAAGTAGGATAGAGTCTGTTCCCCTTAAGACCCCGGCGTATGTCCGCTCACTCTGAGCCCAGCCTCCCTTAGCCAACTGCTTCGCTTCCTGAATCTTCTCAGATTTGTGTTGTGTTTTTCATTGCGATGCATCAGATTATGACAGGACATGAGGAATGTGTGCAAATGCTGCTGGAACAAGAAGTGTCGATTCTGTGTAAAGACTCCAGAGGGAGGACACCCTTGCACTATGCGGCTGCTCGTGGCCATGCCACGTGGCTGAGTGAGCTGCTGCAGATAGCACTTTCCGAGGGGGACTGTTCTTTCAAAGATAACCAGGGCTACACGCCGCTGCACTGGGCTTGTTACAACGGTGAGTTAACTGTCATTGGGCTGAATTCCATCAGACTTCCTGCCCCAACACCACTGTGATCTCAGAGGAGGTGGGAACAAAGCGTCAAGCTGTAAACCAGGGTTTCCAGTCTTTCTGCATTCAGATACCTCAAAAGAGATCCCTTTTTATTTTTTGATATTTTTCCCTCCGTGGCTACCATGATGCCATAATGGAGTGAAAATTCACTTTACCCTTTTTGTTGATCAGTAACCTGTAACTCCTAGTCAGAACTTCTGATGAACTGAAATAACCAGTTTTAATCAGGGTTTCTTCCCTATATGAGACAACCAGGGATCCTACAAGGAATTAAAATAATACAGCTAAAAACAACCTAAACAATATGATGTAATAATCTGTCACAATTGACAGCTGGTAGATGCATGATTTATCTTTCAGTATTTCCTTTTTATGTCTCATAGTCCCCATTTATTTAGTTACACTTGCTACTTAGGAGATTTAAAAATTTGTGTTTCGCTTATTTGAGTAGAAGAGTAAATGCATGCTAATTGTTACATTTCAAAAATACTGAGGTATCTAAAGTAAAATTGTCTCCATTCCCAAACTTACCTTCTGATGTAATTTGGTGTTTATCTTTCATAATTTTCCCTTGAGGATGTAAATAAATACAGATATATGTGCATCTATTTTTTTAAAGCTAGAATCATGTAACAAATTTCATTCTGTAACTTGTTGTGTACTTAACATTCAATTGCAGATATCCTTACAAGTCAATGTGTATCAGTATACACTGATCTTTTTAATAGTTGTGTATTTTGTATCAGATAGATAAATAGGTGTAGACATGCATGAGTCTGAGTGTGTATACCAGAATTTAATATTTATTCAGCCAGATCCCTGTTGATGAACACTCAAATTGTTTTCAGGTTTTTTTCCTATTACAAACAGTGCTGCAGTGTGTGTGTTCATATTATGGACCTTATATTCTGTCAGATAAGTTTCCAGAAGTAAAATTATTGATGAGGACATGTATATTTTTAATTTTGATAAATTATACCATATTACTTTGGCATATCATAATTTTTTACTCCACCAAACATGAATATAAAACTACTTTCCCAACCTTTTGTCAGCCCAAAATGATATCATCTTTTTAATTTTTGTCAATTTGAAGGGCAGAAAAAAGGTGTCTCATTTTTATTTGTGTTTCCTTGTCTAATAGTGTATTGATTTATGTATTTGCATTTCCTCTTCTGGAAATTGCTTTTTCCATCTGTTGCTCGTTTTTTTTCCTACTGAGTTGTTTATCTTTTCTCACACATTTGTAGGAGCACCTTGTCTTAGGATATGAATCCTCTGTGTGTTCTGTGTGTTGCAAACGTTTTCTGTCAATCTACCGTTTGCCTTGGCTCCTTGTTGGCGATGTCTTTTTCCATACAGAGATTTTTGAACTTTTATGTAGTTGAATCTGTCCGATTTCTCCTTTATGGTACCTGGGTTTACAGTCTTGCTTAAGAAGGTCTCCTACCCCCTAAGCGACCATGAATATTTCCCCATATATTTCTTATTCTGCTGCTGTTGTTTTATTTTTCCATTTTCAATTCTTCTATTAAAATTTTCATTCAGAAACTATGATTATTGGGTCCACAAAGGTTTTATGGTGCTTTAACTGTATCAATTTAATGCCTTTCATTATGTTTTTATTACAGCCCTCCTTTTTTCATTGGTTCTGACCTCAATAAGAGTCAGATCCTCTACTTTTTCAACTTTGTTTTGCTTCCTCACTGCCATTGGAGGATTGTGGTTTCTTTTTTTTTTTTTTTTTTTTTTTTTTTTTTTTGCGGTACGCGGGCCTCTCACTGTCGTGGCCTCTCCCGCTGCGGAGCCCAGGCTTCGGATGCGCATGCTCAGGGGCCATGGCTCACGGGAGCAGCCGCCCCGCGGCATGTGGGATCTTCCCGGACCGAGGCATGAACCCGTGTCCCCTGCATCGGCAGGCGGACTCTCAACCACTGCGCCACCAGGGAAGCCCAGGAACTATTCTTGGTGCCATTTTAAATACTATATAGTGTTTTACAGTCAAAGCCCTTTCACTGGAGTTATCTTTTTGTTTGTTTGTTTGTTTTTTGTTTTTTGTTTTTTTTTTCTTGCGTTATGCGGGCCTCTCACTGTCGTGGCCTCTCCCATTTGCGGAGCACAGGCTCCGGACGCGCAGGCTCAGTGGCCATGGCTCACGGGCCCAGCCGCTCCGCGGCATGTGGGATCCTCCCGAAACGGGGCACAAACCCGCGTCTCCCGCATCGGCAGGCGGACTCTCAAGCACTGCGCCACCAGGGAAGCCCATCACTGGAGTTATCTTAAATACTATTTTCTATCACTCACATCTTCCCTTCCCTAGGGTACATAATTATAAGTGAACCTAATCATACGGGTGAAAGGGAAACTTTCTATTTTAAGTATGGGCAAACTGAGGCATAGCTATGTTAGGCATCTATCTACTAAGAGCTGAGAGTAACATAGAATTATTCTGCTTGTAAATGAGGTTTCTTCTCTTTCTCTCCACCAGACCATATGGCCTTCACTGTTTTATTTATTCATTATGTTTCAGAACACCTGTGAGCATAGTTAATAACATTTTGACATTTGGTGAATTTTATTCCATGGAGAATGAATGGTTCAGCTAATTCAGGAAAATTCATAGGCCAGAATTCAATACTTAATGAAAAAAATAGATTGAATTAAACAAAGTTTCTTTCTTGAAAGCTCCCTAAATTCTTTTGATTCCTTGCAGGTAATGAAAACTGCATAGAGGTACTTTTGGAGCAAAAATGTTTTCGAAAATTTACTGGTAATCCCTTCACTCCACTGCACTGTGCAATGTAAGTAGAAATGCTGGAAGTTAATGGTGTTGCTTGAATTCTTTAAACTACACGTAGAGAAATTGCCTTTTGGGGAAGGAAAAAGCTTTTAGATTATAGATAAGACCAATATATTCCATTTCACTGCTAAAGGCAAATAGGTCTGATAGCAAAGTGCAGTCCATAATGTTAATGATTTCCTAGGAAATTTTTGTGGAGTGCCATGGTTCCAAGGTGGCTCACAGACCATCTAGGGAAACTGCAGAAGGGGTGGACTGAGGAACACAGTACACACCTCCTGAAGAGTTCTTCAGATGTACCTCACATCTGTCTGCCAAATTCTAAAAATAAGTTGGGGTTAATAACATATGCCTGTGGATGATTAGAAAGATATTCTATACCAGTAAGACTTCTCATATGTGGTAATTCTCCATTCTTCATAATGTTGAAATTCTTTTTTGGTAAATGTAATTTTTGCTCCAGTCTCATAGTGTGAACCATTATTTAGAGAATACAGTGACTCTGAGACAGCCTTCCATGGTAAGCTTGGGGGGAACATGGTCACCTGGGCCTGTGTTCATCTGGGGGTCCATGTTCACCTGGGCAGTGATGGACAGCCTGGGGGCCCAAGACTTGGGAGTGCTTTGTCTTTGCCTCATCTCTGTGCTTCACATGAAGCTGGGTCATTTGATTGGAAAGATATTAGAGGTATAAGATGGATCAAAAAATAAGAAATAAGAGATTATGAGTAGGAGTGATTTTAAATCTGAAGAAACATGTCTCCTTCACTTTGGTGTATCTCCAAAAACACCTAACATGATGCCTTGTGTAAGTGGCGTGCAGTAAACTCCTTCCTGGAAGTAGGGGGTTCTGAAGAAATGCTAGCGGTTACAGAGTGTGTGCCTTTAGAACTGTTAAAATGATTAAAGAAGACTATGGAAGCAAACGATTTTACACTTCATAAAGCAGGCAGTCTCTACTCTCAAGTGTTCAGAGAGCTGCAAAGTGGGGCAGGAGACAGGAAGCTTTTACAGGATGAAAAGTAGGGAACAAGGAAGAGCAGGAATAAAACTAGCTAACCCGCGTCCCCTGCATCGGCAGGCGGACTCTCAAGCACTGCGCCACCAGGGAAGCCCATCACTGGAGTTATCTTAAATACTATTTTCTATCACTCACATCTTCCCTTCCCTAGGGTACATAATTATAAGTGAACCTAATCATACGGGTGAAAGGGAAACTTTCTATTTTAAGTATGGGCAAACTGAGGCATAGCTATGTTAGGCATCTATCTACTAAGAGCTGAGAGTAACATAGAATTATTCTGCTTGTAAATGAGGTTTCTTCTCTTTCTCTCCACCAGACCATATGGCCTTCACTGTTTTATTTATTCATTATGTTTCAGAACACCTGTGAGCATAGTTAATAACATTTTGACATTTGGTGAATTTTATTCCATGGAGAATGAATGGTTCAGCTAATTCAGGAAAATTCATAGGCCAGAATTCAATACTTAATGAAAAAAATAGATTGAATTAAACAAAGTTTCTTTCTTGAAAGCTCCCTAAATTCTTTTGATTCCTTGCAGGTAATGAAAACTGCATAGAGGTACTTTTGGAGCAAAAATGTTTTCGAAAATTTACTGGTAATCCCTTCACTCCACTGCACTGTGCAATGTAAGTAGAAATGCTGGAAGTTAATGGTGTTGCTTGAATTCTTTAAACTACACGTAGAGAAATTGCCTTTTGGGGAAGGAAAAAGCTTTTAGATTATAGATAAGACCAATATATTCCATTTCACTGCTAAAGGCAAATAGGTCTGATAGCAAAGTGCAGTCCATAATGTTAATGATTTCCTAGGAAATTTTTGTGGAGTGCCATGGTTCCAAGGTGGCTCACAGACCATCTAGGGAAACTGCAGAAGGGGTGGACTGAGGAACACAGTACACACCTCCTGAAGAGTTCTTCAGATGTACCTCACATCTGTCTGCCAAATTCTAAAAATAAGTTGGGGTTAATAACATATGCCTGTGGATGATTAGAAAGATATTCTATACCAGTAAGACTTCTCATATGTGGTAATTCTCCATTCTTCATAATGTTGAAATTCTTTTTTGGTAAATGTAATTTTTGCTCCAGTCTCATAGTGTGAACCATTATTTAGAGAATACAGTGACTCTGAGACAGCCTTCCATGGTAAGCTTGGGGGGAACATGGTCACCTGGGCCTGTGTTCATCTGGGGGTCCATGTTCACCTGGGCAGTGATGGACAGCCTGGGGGCCCAAGACTTGGGAGTGCTTTGTCTTTGCCTCATCTCTGTGCTTCACATGAAGCTGGGTCATTTGATTGGAAAGATATTAGAGGTATAAGATGGATCAAAAAATAAGAAATAAGAGATTATGAGTAGGAGTGATTTTAAATCTGAAGAAACATGTCTCCTTCACTTTGGTGTATCTCCAAAAACACCTAACATGATGCCTTGTGTAAGTGGCGTGCAGTAAACTCCTTCCTGGAAGTAGGGGGTTCTGAAGAAATGCTAGCGGTTACAGAGTGTGTGCCTTTAGAACTGTTAAAATGATTAAAGAAGACTATGGAAGCAAACGATTTTACACTTCATAAAGCAGGCAGTCTCTACTCTCAAGTGTTCAGAGAGCTGCAAAGTGGGGCAGGAGACAGGAAGCTTTTACAGGATGAAAAGTAGGGAACAAGGAAGAGCAGGAATAAAACTAGCTGATTGGCTGGGGTTACGTATCTGGCTTTATTTGAGGTATCATAGGAATAGGGCAATCACCCATATAACTTGGCGCTCATGGACTGGCTACCTAGATGGTCTGACCTCTAGGCAGGTGGAACATTTACAAGAACATGGAAACTAAAAGTTAAGTTTCGTTTTGCGGACGTGGTTTCTCAGGATCAGCAGCACCTGGCCTACTGAGGAAAGGTTAATGCAAGATCAGTTTGACAATTCCCCCTTTTGATCAGCCTCTGGCCAAGCAAGAGGTTTGAGCAAAGATGGTGTTGTAAGTTATTCTCAGTTACAATTGCCTCTTTGCGTTTCAGTATATATTTCACAGGAAGTGATATCAGATTCATCATTCCAGTTGGAGAAAGACCATTTGTTGACTGATTGATGGCTGTGTACACTCACCTAAAACCTTGAGAGAACACAACAGACCAGAGAGATAATTATTATTAATAATAGTAAAAGTATTCCCAAGGTTTGCATGAACCCCATGAACCAAACCAGCTAGAATCAAATACATCAAGAAATGATCCCAGAGAGGGACCTACTTCTTTAAGTCAGTTGGTCTATTTATATATTTCTTGCGACTCTGTCTCCATTTCTCCAGAATTGTTTATTCAGTGAGTTCGTTCCAGAGAAACTGAGGCATTAGCAATCAGAGGGAAGTTTCTGTAGGCAAAACCACAGGATCACCAGCATTGTAGCAAATCCAACAGGTTGGCTGTTAGATTACCCCCCCTTTGCAATGGCCTGACATATGTGAACAGTGATACATCTTTCCAGGCAAGGGCAAGGCAAAAGGTGGATAAAAAAATTGTAAAGACCTCCATGGTGTAAGAATTAAGGAAAAGGATGGCCAGAGAGGGGAAGAGGAATGGAAAGAAACATTCTTGATCCAACATCTTGGGAGGAAGCAGTTTACTTCGGTGTCAGCTATTTCTGGTCAGTTCGATTTTGAGGTCTCTGGCATTTGCCGAGGACTAGGTGTTAGGTGGGGCCTTCTTCAGTTTTGAAATATGCACTCAAAGTTCAGCACTTTGTAATTTGGCAGCAGTGTCAGTGGTCAGGAGTACTTGGTAGGGTCTTTTCCATGAATCTCTTTTGCAAAAGCATCAGAGTAAAACAATTAACTGTCTACAAATGACAAAAGACTTAAACATGCCTGTGGTTAGAGATCTGATGAGAGTTCATTATAATGGAATTAACAAGAAAATTTGGTTATTTCTGTGACACACAACATTTAACTGCGATAACTGGAATTATGACTGATAACATTATACCAGGACATACCAGATTTTTAGGAATTTTATACAATTTCTGGAACACATATAGATAACATAGACCCCTACAAATATAATCTAAGAAGGTTATAAACATCACTTCTTATTTGACAATGCTTCCTGTGTAATTTAACATGTCAACTAAGCGTAATTAGTTTAACATTTCTCCTTTGATAAGGAAAGAGAACAAATCTTTTGAGATATTCTAGGGGCCCTGTGGAAAAATCCCAAAGTTAGTTTAAGACTTTATTTAGAATTTGATTTTAGGAAGTTTATCAGAATATCAAAAGCTTTTAAAACGTTTGATCAAATAGGATCATAGGTCACTGTGAAACAATACTTAATTATCCACTTAACCAAAGTGACAGTTAAAGACTTCAAAGGCAAATACAGAACATTACATAGCAGTTAAAAACAAAACCAAACACAAACCTTAGTTCTGTTAATATTGAGAAGACTGGTTTTTCTTAAGTAAGACGGGGTAAAGTCAGTGTGAAGCACAGTAAATTATTTTGGTGAAACACAAAATCTTTGCTGTTCAGGCAGATTATTTAAAAGGTAAAGAAAAACCTTTGTTTATAATTTCTTTTTAAGAGCACACCAATAATCTTTAAAAAAAAAAAAACAAAACAAAAACTTTGTTTTTTTAACAGAGAAAAAAACAAATTCTAATTTTGCTTTACTGTACTTTTGATATTAAAACTCATTTTTTATGGTAGTGTATATATGGACATATGTACACTACCAAATGTAAAATAGCTAGCTAGTGGGAAGCAGCCGCATAGCACAGGGAGATCAGCTGGTGCTTTGTGACCAGCTAGAGGGTGGGATAGGGAGGGTGGGAGGGAGGGAGATGCAAGAGGGAAGAGATATGGGGATATATGTATGTGTATAACTGATTCACTTCGTTATAAAGCAGAAACTAACACACCATTGTAAAGCAGTTATACTCCAATAAAAAAGTTAAAAAAAAAGAGGATCATAAAGATTAAAAAAGCAAAACAAAAAAACCCTCATTTTTTAAAAACTTAAGTCTATTCCAATCTTAGTCAACTCAACCACACGTAAATTTTCTTTTCCAAGATTCCTTTCCACAAATCTACAACTTTCTTACATCCAGTCAGATTTTGTCCTATTTTTCCAATTCTGGAATAACCAGTCATTTTACTTTAAGACAAAGTTACTTTCTCTTTTCCCTTACCCAAACAAAATAAAATGAACAAACGTTAACAAAAATGTCCTTCATACGTTTTCTTATCCAAAAACTACATTCTGCTTTCCCACCTACTTTTCATATACAGTTGTTTTCTTTCACCCTTATTTCTAATTAGTTTTAATTGACTAAAATTATTAACCCTTAGAATCCTTCATTTTAAACCTTAAAACTAAGAAATAAGCAATTGTGGTCTGTGTTACACTAGCACTCTGTGGATTGGCAAATTTATGAATACACTTCATAATTTTTAAAGTATATATTCTTCCTTATAGTAAATTTTTCAGCATGGCACAAAACATGTTTCCTAATAGAACCAGATATCTTAGGTCCTCTTTAAAAGGAAGCCAAAAGTGGATAAACTTAAGTTGAGTAAGTTTCAGTATTTTATCTTATTTGGAAATGATCTAGATGTTCAATGAATATCCATTATTTAATTTATCTCAGTGTAGCTTTAAGGTTTCAACTTACCAAAAGCATTTTGGAAACTATTTAAAGTAGACATACCATAAAGCATACCTGTTGAAAAGTTCATTTATAAACTTTTATCTTACTTACATCTATTTAATTTACAGTTCTTAACATTATGTTTATATTACTCATGAAAATCTCATGAGACATTAAACAACTAACCATCATCTTAGGTTATTTTTCTTGCTGACAAATTCTGTAACAGAGATAACACGGGCTTACTTGACTTTTAGTAAACCTAGGTAGAATAAAAGTTGTATGTCTGCCTTGTATTTAATTCTGATAGGTCTAAAGACATGCCTGTTTTAATTAAACCAAGGATTTGCATAAAACCTTCTAGGACAATCTTTTTTCCACTTTCCCTGTTGATTGCAAATGAGACACCAATCCCTGGTGTTTTGATGACCGTGCAACGGTGTTTTAGGTTTTTGCCCTTGGAATTGTTGCAGCTACAAGGCCAGTAACTTTGAGAAGACTTTTGCTTATGGTCTTGTAGCCTCTTCAGAATGGAAAGGGAATTCAGTTAGAGGATCAGTAGACCCTGAGTACTCAGGTAAAGGAGGGCAGAGGGGAGTAGTAGGGTCACATTTGTCTTGTAGTCTCTTGTTTTAGGTACCTCTGCATCTTTAATTTTTCATTAGCCTTTTGCAATAAATCTTTCAGTAAGGCTATTTTGGAATCTTGAAGCCTTCTGGGGGTTTCTGCATACCAATTAAAATAAGTATTCCATTCTGTTTGTTGATTTGGGAACCCTTGCTTTCAAGTGCACTTCTTAAATGAATCATCTTGTCTAACTGGAACACATAGCGTCTAGGACCACAGTTCTTAGACAAAATAAGCAGGTGTGCTGGAAGGTAGAGCACTCAGTTTTTTGAAACTTGAGGATTCTATTTCTTTAGCTAAGCCTGAGTTTCTTGGAGCCAAATTAATACCTAAGAGATGTGCTGCTGGGTTGGGGATTTTGTGGTGTTTTACAACGTACTTCATAGCATAGAAATTTTCTTGAGGTTTTTGGGTGACCTAGTGTCAATCTAAACCATTCCATGACCAGATTAACCCAGCACAGGAGAATTAGATTTAGGTGCAAGCCCTCTAGCAGCTTTTCAGTGCTTGATCCGTGCCCACCAATTTTGAGGCTTTGGCTTCTGAGATTCTCATTAACGATAGATCTATTGCTCTTTTCACGAGAAGATTTCTTTATCGTGGCAGATGCTCTAATGGCTTTCGGTGGTCTAACTTGTGCCCACTGAGATTTTGATGTGCCATTGGTCAGGACAGTCTGAATCCCTTATCTTATTTCCCCGTGTCCCCCAGTGGTTTATGCTATGGACTTACCTCGAGGTCCACGATGGTCCTTTGGCTGCTGCCCCCAATATAATCGTCTCAGAACCTTTCCAGGATCCCAGAAGCTCTCTGGGAACTTTAATAAACCCTTTCTTTTAATAATTTTTGGGTAAAGTTTGTTTGGATTGGAAAGCTGCACGCAAGTGAGCAGAGCTCAAATCTGAGAGTGACTTACCCATGGCCCTCGATAATGACAAGAGGAACAATGAACTCAAAGGGTTCAGCAGCTTTGAATCTCATTCTCATCGGCAAAACTGTTAAAATGATTAAAGAAGACAATTTAGGTGATACAAAGTTTATTTAATAGTTCCTCAGGCAGGCAGTTCTGAGAATTCTTGAGAGTAGAGACTACCCACTTCATAATGTGTTAGAGAAAGTTTATCTGTATGACCTAAATTGTCTTCTTTAATCATAAATTAAACACCACAGATATTTGCATCAAATTTTTTTTTAATGCGTCAGATTATTAAACATATAGTGCATAGGAAGATGGAGTAGGAGGGGATATATAATTTTTTAGAGAGCAAGATTTTAAAATTTGAAATCTATTTTCATTTTAGAATAAATGATCATGAGAATTGTGCATCATTGCTCCTTGGGGCCATAGATTCCAGTATTGTCAATTGTAGAGATGACAAAGGCAGGTAAGTGATCCTAGGATGGCATGGCTCTTGTCTTGATGAATCTTAGTCTGCTTTGTGGTTGCAGAGTGGCCAAACATCTATGTTTTTTAATTGAAAAAGTAATATAAAAGCATGGTTTTAAAAAATTAAGTCTAATAAACGAAATATAATTTAAAGAAACTACCCTCTTAGCCCAGAAACCCCAGCCTCTTCCACTGAGAAATCCACTTTAAACTGTTCTTTCTAAATTTTTATATTCTCCCAAATATTTTCTAGACATAGCTACAAAAGTATATAAAAATATATATGCTTCTATTCTTTTTATGCAAATGAGAACATTCTATAGAAATGCTCTGCTTTTAGCATATCTTGGAGATCTTTCCATACCAGAACATACGTATTTACCATATTCTTTTTAAAGCTGCATATTATTCCATTGACTGGATATGTTATAATTTAATCAGCCTGTTCTGCTTTGAAGAATATTTGGTTGTTTCAAATTTGGGGGATTTTAAAGAGTGGTGCAGTGAACAGTCTAGTACATTTGTCTGTTCACATGACCAAGTGTATCTGGGAGATAAAGTACTAGAAGTGGACTCTTTTGGTTCAAAGGTCATAGTGTTTAATTTTGATAAATCATGCCGAATGTCCTCCCAAAGAAGTCAACTATTCACCTTAAATGATGTAGCCTTTTTTAAAAAAATAGCCAGTTGTCTACACATTTAAGGCTTAATTTTGGAAGTATGTTTATCAAAGATGAGAGAGAAGTCACTGGAACTCAAGATTAAAGGGTCAGTAAAGATGCTAATTGTATTATCAGGGCCACTTCCTATACCCCCCAAATCTAGTGGTGCCGTTCACATCGGTGACACTTCATTGTCACCCCGAATGGCCTTTGGGGGAACCTGATCACCATTTCTGTAAGCTGATAAGTTTTAAACCCCTAAGACGATAGCATGCACATGTTTCTCAGGCATATATAGAAAGAGAGTGTGTTTACAGGAAGTTAAAATCATACTTGTTTTAAATCGTTAGGACACCACTTCATGCAGCAGCATTTGCTGATCATGTGGAGTGCTTGCAGCTTCTTCTGAGACACAACGCTCAAGTGAACGCAACAGACAATTCAGGGAAAACAGCACTGATGATGGCTGCTGAGAACGGGCAGGCCAGCGCTGTGGGTATGTGCTTGACTTGTGGACTTCGAGTTTATGCCTATCCAAAACCAAAGGCATGTAAAATCAAGCAATTGGTCATCCTCTTGGTTTATACATGTGAAAAAAGACCGACGTTTTATTTAGGCCACCTGATCTACCTGCTAGTCATCTTCAGTCCCCTGTTAACTTGGTTATTGATGGACTTTGTCAAACCGAGCCAACCTTTCCGCAGTGAAATCTCTCAACATTTAGAAATCAAATAGAACAGGATCATTTTATCTGGAAATAACAAAATTGTAAAGGGAATTAAAATTAATGCCTATGGACCTTGGATTTGAATAGAACAGCTATGGCAATAAATTGCTCCTTTTTTCTTCAATAATATTAAATATGATTATGTGAGCTGTACAAATTTAAATGTGTTATTGTTTTGGTAGTAACTTCTCCAAAATGCATGTAATTAACGTGTAGTCTGAGTAACTTTCTTTTGGCTTTTTCTGCAGATATTTTGGTGAACAGTGCCCAGGCTGACCTGGCTGTAAAGGATAAGGACTTGAACACACCCTTACATCTGGCTAGTAGTAAAGTATGTAAATGAATTTGAAACACTGTTATTTAGAATAATACTAATAATGATAATAACAATAATACCTAAATCTATCTATCTCAGAAGTGTGTATCGTGGCTCTTAATTAAGATGTCTGTTGTCACTCTCAGTGGAACTGAAAGGGGGAAGCAAAGGGCAGACGCACACAAGGGTTGAGGGACTATGCCTTTCATGGCATTTGCCACTTGAAGTCTTGCCACAGTCTGGCTTGATGCTGCCACTGTATTTGTCTTCATGGTTGTGGCACCACATTTTGCTTTTAAACACAGGTTAAGAGCTCAAGTTATCAGTTCCACATGCTTTCATTTTGTTCCACTTGAAGACATTGTAATAACACAGCCAAAAAATACTATCCTATGAGGCAAATAAATGTGCTCATGTATGCTTCTATTCTCCCCTTTTTTCTGGTGCATAGTTCAATGCAAAGAATGTGCTTGTTTTTTTTAATAGCATCGTGTTCACATATAGCTCAAGGTTCCTGCTTCTGTAAAAGATAAATGTATGATTTTATGAGAGTGGGATCATACTGTTTGACAACCTGCTTTTGTTACTGAATCATATATTATGAATATCTTTCTTTTAGACATCATATATTGTAGTGTTTTAGAAGATGTGTGGTATTCTGCCTTAGGGCTGTGCCATCCTTTATTCAACCCATCCCCTATTGTTAAACATTTACTTGTTTTCAAATATATGCTGCTCTAAATGATGCTAAGTGTAGATAATAATAATCTAAATAAATTCCTATATGTGAAATTAGTGAGTCTAAGGCTATGAACATTTTTAAGACCAAATTGCCCCGTAATAAGGTTACAACCATTTACCCTCCTCCAGCAGTACATCAGAATGAAAACTCCATGGACACTTTTAAAATTATCTTTAAGTGTCTCTCTTATAAGGCATTATAATATGATGCCAGTTATCACCAGTGATGGTGGTTTGTTTCAATATAGTTGTAGTACTAAAGGTGTTATCTATACCCAGTGGTACCAGAGGTCTCAGCTATTCCTTTCATTGGTTGCATTTTCTCATTTCATGCTCTGAGAAGCCTTTGGAAACCACAAAAAGTGCTCAGGTTCATGAAATTCATTTCAAGGTTTGTGTTTTTGTGAGTGTAAGTACAGTGCTTCCCAGAATTTATTGTGCAAATGAATTGCCTGAGGGTCTGGTTAAAGTACAAATTCTAATTTAGGAGGGCTGGATGGGAGCCTGAGATTCAGCATTTCTAACTCCCAGGTGAAGCTGATGTTGCTGGTCTGTGGGCCACATTTCGAGTATCAAGGGTTTAAGAAGTGGCGACCCCTTAACAGGGCACTACGCCTGAGGTTGTGAAAGTGTCTCTGATTCATCAGTTGATTTTTAAAAAGTTATCAACCATCGTTAGTCATAAGGTACAGAGGTATCTTCTGGATGAGGAAGAAAAGAATGACCTTTCCTGAAAAAGATTCTCTTCATAATATAAGGCAGCCAGTGATGATGAATGATAACAGATAACAGATACAATGGGAATTCCAGTGATGGGATCCCTGAGGTGGTATTTGAAGGCTTGAGGAAGGATATGGGACTTGACTTGTGTTTAAAAAGCATTGTTGAAGAATTTAAAGGACACTCCTAATTCTACTCTCTGTTTACCAGCTGACCTAGCTGAGCTAGCTTCTGCTACATCTCTCTGGACATTAGTTATAAAAGTTATCTTAGAAATAACAATATTTTAGATCAGATTTATATTAATCAAGTCCTAATAGACCTTATTTAGAATCTTGGAAAATCTAAGGCTGTTTAACCATTTGCTTTCAGAAGAAAAAAGAATTACTCAGAAAATAGCCTATTTTGTTATTAGACAGGGCATACATTTTAACTTTAAAGCATAATGAAGTGATTTTTTCCAGAACTTTTCTGTATCTCTGTCCCATGTTTCTTATCTTTTTTTTTTTCCATTAGGGTCATGAAAAATGTGCCTTGTTAATACTTGACAAGATACAAGACGAGAGCCTTATTAATGCAAAAAACAATGCACTGCAGACGTAAGTGTGGCTACTAAAGTTTGACCAAGTCCCAGATTCATAGTCGTTTATTCAACAAACAATAAGAATTTGCCGTATGCCAGGCTAGAGCTGGGAGCGCAGTGGTGAAAGGCACAGACCTGGCTTCTCCTTCGTGAAGTTTAAGGTCACATAACTACAAATGGAAAACAAGTTTTATAAATCAGGCTCCCAGAATACATTTGAAGCGTTTCTAAGCTATTTTCTTAATTATATTTTAATATAATTCAGTGTAATCCTTAGCGTGAAAGACCCGAAAGCTGCTTCATTTTCCATTTTGGGAAATTACCTACGCATTCGTTTTAAGGGCAAAGGAATATTAGGATTTTTTTCCATTAAGATTCTTAAGCAGCATAGCAGAATATATTGGGTATAATATTATTCTTTAAGGTATTCTAAATTCAATGAAACATCATTTAGTGCATTTAGTAATAACAGGGAGGTTTAAGATTATGTAATATGGGTGATAGTGATACCAGTCATACTGATGAACTGTGTGAAACAGTGATTCAAATGCTGACCTAGAAAGCAAGGGGTAAAGAACCTTCTAGAAAACACACCAGAGCTTGAGTTCTTCTTCTGGCTTCTTGTGTCCTGTCACTAAGGTTGTTTGAGGTGTAGAGTATTTGTAATATCTGCAGAGAAATTTGGGCCAACGTGGAAGAACAGTTGGATCATTAGCACCTGGAAAGGATGTGGTGAACAAATATCTTTTTTGGAAAAAGTAAAAATAGTCATGTGCTATTTATAGATTCTCAAGTCTTTTCTTCCTTTTAGCCACTCAGACTACCCAAAATGCCACATTCTCACACAAATATATATCATAGTTGATGCTCGCTGTTGTCTTTTTTAGACCCCTCCACGTTGCTGCGCGCAATGGCTTGAAGGTAGTCGTTGAGGAGCTGCTAGCCAAAGGGGCTTGCGTACTTGCTGTAGATGAAAATGGTAAGTGGAAAAAGTAAGCCATTACTGCGGGTACCTCGCACCGGCGGTGAAGCCAGAGGAAAATGAGAAAGCCAGGAGCTAGATAAAAAGGCAGTGAGAACTCTCTTCCTCTTGGAAGTTCCCTGTGTGTGAGCAATCAAACAAGGATAATTTGTCCTGTCTGTCGTTGTAAGACATATAGTCTCCCTGCAGCCCCCCAGTGCCTTCCATGTGCATGTAATGTCAGCAGCTGGTCTCAAACTCCTCAGCGTGGTGGTTAAAATATGTTAGACAAAAACTCAAAAACTTTCAACTTGGCATTCAAACCCGATTCTAACTGCATATGCTGAAGAGTTAGGGATCATACATGTCATGAGTGCATGCTCAAGGGCTCGAATTAAAACAAAATCTTTGTATTTCAGTTCATTCTGAGATCAAACCTCTTATTATTATTCTTTTAAGAACAGATCAGAACTCATATTTCCAGTATGGATATTTGGGGAACATGAGTAAAATTTTTAAATTAACGTTTAGGCTTGAAAGCTTCTTCTGATCTATAGCACGTTCCGTTTCTAAATGAGCTAACTCTTAACAGAAGCTTTCTACTCTGCTTCCTAAAAACTTTTGAAAGCTAATGAATACTAGAATTGTATTAAACTACCGTGCCTTTGAACCTTGGGGAGCAAAAGAGGAACTTCTGGTTATTTATGAATTAAGTAATTTTTTGAATGTGGCATTAATTGTAGCATTTAATTAAAGTATTTTAAAATGTATTAACATAACTCAATTAACTGCTTATTACAGGTATTGGAATTAGCAGCTCATGCCTATTTCTCAGAAGTAAGCAGCCATATGACATCATTAGCTAACTCCTATTAGTTTTGGTTTTGCAGCCCCATTTATCCTAGCATGTACCCCTCTCTGTCCCCAACCTGACTCATGTAGGAGGTGCAGAAAGTTCTCTATTACTCCATCTCCTTGGTCCTCCTGCCTCACCCTCCCTCACCTTCTTATCACGAATATATGTGTGTGTGTGTGTGTGTGTGTGTGTGTATATATATATATATATATATATATATACACACACACACACACACACACACACACATATATTCGTGATAAGAAGGTGAGGGAGGGTGAGGCAGGAGGACCAAGGAGATAACTGTGGGTCTCTACATGCCAACCCCAAGGTGTGTGTGTGTGTGTGTATATATATATATATATATATATATATATACACACACACACACACACCTTGGGGTTGGCATGTAGAGACCCACAGTTTTTCTGCAAAATGACTAAAGAGACCAGAATAAACTAGTGTAAGTCTACTGTATCTGAAGCTTGTCCAGCCCACAGCAACCTTAGGAACAAGAGCCCCAGGCCTATAGAACTGCAGCCTGTGTCCAAGCTTAGCTACATCCCAAAGGTCTAGGAACATTTGGGACAATTTTGTACAGCACTACAATCTTAATTCCTTTACTCATCACGGACCTTTGTGGAATGGAATGTTAAGGTATCTGTCCATTCTTGTTTGTTTTCATACCAGGGAAAGGAATCATCTGTTAAGGGGGGGGAGAGGAGCAGAAATCAGGTCAAGTGCTGATAAACAATACAGCAAAAAATTAAGTTTTATTGAGCCAGTGCCTCTGAATAAAGGAGCGAGTGGTTAGTAGGAAGTTTAGCCAGCACAAGGGGCTGGAACCCCTTTCCAGCCAGTAGAATAAAGTTTGAATAAGAGTAGATGGAGTAAAAGACTTTATCTACCCCCCCATGGCACCTGCTTCGTGAGTTGAGATAGTTTTCTTTTCTGGACTGGACCCATCAAGTCCAAATGGCAGAGAATGACAACTCTATAGCAAATAGCAATTTCCACACATCTGTTACATTTAGGACTTGGGACTTTGGCTGGTGGTGTTGATAATACTCAAAATGCTGTTTAAGTTTCTTTTAAATGATAGTACATTTCATCACATACAACAAGTGCTTTCCTGTGTCTGATCTACTCAAATGATTCCATTTCTCCAGAACCAGTTACCTGTGCATACTTTATAGAAAGTATATATGAAGTGACAGAACGGTGTTACTGACTCTTACAGACATCTGATTCTTGACATCCTTTCTAATCTGACACACAGTTACCTACAGTGGAAAGTCATTGTTCTCAGAATGAGAGTGCTCTGGCCCCAGCCCGAAGCGCATGGTGTGTGCGTGTGCTCTCAAGTGGAAACATCTTTCTGATTGTCCTGTGGCTGTTTCTTGTGGAATTGTGTCCAACCCCCGTCCCCTCGTGTTTCTGTTCACTAGAGGAAGACTGAAATTCTGCCTAACTTCCGATAATATGATGCTTTGTTGTTGTCATGTAAGCAGGAAAAAAAAACCGAAACCTTCCATCAAATGTCTCCCACTCCCAGTCCCCTCCAGCCTCACCCTAAGCATGACTTGTGGGAAATAACTCCTTTGCCTGGCATGATTTCTAACTTGACATACATCTCTGCGTGTGAGGTCGTTCGAGATGTACTGTGGGATGCTCACACCACCTCTGGATTGCCTGGACTAACCACTGCCTTGTCTGCATTTACGCCCAGGTCATACCCCGGCCCTGGCTTGCGCTCCTAACAAAGACGTGGCTGACTGCCTGGCCCTCATTCTGGCTACCATGATGACTTTTTCTCCTTCCAGTACCATGACGGCTGTCAACTTCGTTTGTTTTAAAAAAGACAGTTTGAGCAGAACGACCCTCTCCAACCTGGGTAGCATGGTTAGCCTGTGCAGTAACAACGTAGGCTCGGAGGATGGATACAATGAAAATGATTCTGATTCGGAAACGTTTTGACTTTGGACTGTAGAAGCCTTTCCCTGATCACCCATGTTGGAGGAAGGGAAAGAAGCTTGAATTCCAGGTTTATGTTGTGTTCAAGTATTATTATGGGCCCGAGCTTCCAGAAGCCAGTAGAGAAGGAATTAATCAAACCGAGGGAAGGCAGCTAGGCTGTAGGGCAAAGCACTCACACAGATGGGCCTCGATTTTGCTTTGTTTCATATTTTCCTTAGATCTGAGATACTTCTGTGAAAGTCTACCTCTCATTTTAAGTAAGGAATAAAAAAATGCATTTAATTCTTTTTCTTTGTGGATAGCGCAACTGAGAGGGAACTGGTCTCTAATAAAAGATTTTTTTTCGTGTACTCACTCGCGGTGAGTTCTCAGAAGTGTATCAATATGACATTCATGTCCCCCAGGAGGGGAGGGAACGGCTGGGTAGGAAATGCCTCAAACCTCTTCTCACTTTGATGTTTACTTCCTTACTAGAAGCCAAAGGTAGAGGTGTTCATCTTCAGAAATGATCTTTTTAAAGGAGTCCAATTATTCACATCCTATCTATAGTAAGCACTTAAATAATCCAGAACATCTTTTTGAGGATTTTTGTTAAAGTTGCCAAATGAAGGGAAAAGTTCACTGGAAATTGAACTTGCTTTCTTCATTTAACATAAATGTAGCACTCAGTGATCCCCATAACAAGCCTGTGACTAATTTTCACCCGAGTGATCGAACCCAAATCTCTCCAGTAACATTTCCGGTGAAAAGTATATTGCACCAAAACTTTGAGACATAGGCAAATATAATATGAAACTACCCTTTATTAATTTGTCTGTAAATCAGAATACTAACTTTATGAAAACATAAGAACCATCAGTATTGTTCATCAATAGTAAAATGTTAAATGAGCTTCTCTGTCAGAGTCACGCCCCAGTGAGTGGAAGTGTGACTCCAAAAGGGAACAAAGTGAAAGCACGGTGTAGAAATGGGCAATATGGAAATTAAGGCCAATTAAAGTTGCTTGATGATGAAATCACCATAGTGAATACTGTGTCTGCTCCCTCTGCCAAAGCTTCTAGGTCAAATGGACCCCGTTCCACACCCGGAATAGCTGTACAAAAAGAAGAATGAGACTTTTTAGATTATGCACATACACATGCACACGTATTTGTATGTATTTATATATATATGTCTGTAGTTCGTCAACCAGCTATCCACGAGGACCAAAATGCTTCAGTCTAAAATGGAAGATTTAAATTGCTTTCCTTCGAAGTGGAAGTGAGAACTGAAATAGCTTTTCTATGGAGTTAAAATGTCATCGTTTTGCATAACAGTCTTTGTTGTGTTTTATATTTCTTATGACACAGATTTCTAGTTGATGGCTTAACATTTGTAACTGATAATGTGTTGACTACAGCTTATTTTTTTTGCCAAACTAGAGAAAATGTTCATATACTTTTGATGTAAATGTGTTTGTATTTATTTGAAATGAAACAAATGCCGAGGAAACATCCATTGTTTGTTCTCTGTTTTAATTCCTACTTGTCTTACTTGGAATCATGAAAAAGCCGGAAAATACACAGGACTCTCCCTGGGCTGGCCCGCAGTCCTGGGGCCAAGCCCAGCAGCATTTCCAATCCTAAGGTTTCCAGCCAGCCCTCAGGTTCTTCCACGTCGGTCGGAAAGGGGTAAAACATCCGTGGCTCAGCCCGTGTGTAGCCAGCTCAGAGCTTAAAAGACACTGCAGTCCTGTGATCTTCTGCGAGATGAAAACTGAAGTGTGTACTGGATCATATGCCCAAAAGTGGCCCAAAGAAAGATATAGAAATTATCCTGAATACGCTGAAAATCTCACATGATCCCAGCAACCTCATGGGAAACTATGGCAGTGTGTGCGCACATGTACCAAGAAGAGAAATAAAAATCACCAGCTTATGCTATTTTCCACTTGAGGAAGAGACAGGAAAGAAACATGTTGCATTAAGGTAGTGCTCTCCGACATTTTATAATCGATTCCATTTTCACCCTGAAAATTTCTATCTTATAATATATGTGAGATATTTTTAAAACAGTGTTCTATCATGTCTGGATCAAATACAGATACTGTATTATATATTTCATCTAATTGTAAAAGGCTTTAATCTTACTCTGTAATATCCTGGATTTAATTAAAAACTCATGCTGGGTTCTTCACAAATGAGAACTTGTTCAGAGGACTTCTAAGAACTGGTATTAATTTCACTGAAAAATTTTGACACCACCATATTGTTTTTTTAATTCTTGGTGTTGTGTTCCCCTCCTTCCTCTGTCCTTTCTGTTTGTTTCGAGAAGATGAGTTTCGAAAAAGCGGATAAATTGCTAATGAGCAGTAATGACCTTATCTTTACCAAAACCCTGAAAATAAGGGAGATCTAACACTGAAGAAGCACGATATACTGCGGAGTCTTTTTCTAGAAGCGAATGGAAATCTTGCTCAGTTGGCATTTAAAGCAGGATATGCGATGCCTGCTTTAATTGTGAAGCAGCGTTAACATTTTTCCCCGGTAGAGTAGCACAGAGAACAAGAAACATTGCGGCAAAACAGCGGCAGCCACGCGACATTACCTCCACGGAGCTGCGTTCTGACTTCTCCCCGCTCTTTCACTGCTGGAAAGAAGGAAGACAAAGGAACAAAATGAAATCATGCTATGAATTGTTCACTGAATCCATCTCTCGCCCCCGCTCTCTTTCTCTTTCTCCCTCTTCCCCAGACCAATTTTTTTCCTTTAAGAAACGACTTTAAAAACTATGAGTTCTGCTTTTCACATACATCTCTTAGAAATAAAGCTAGATTTTCCGCATAGCTATTTAAGAAAAACAAAAACGGAAAACATTGTGCTTTTACCTTAATGTGTTCTTTTTAGACTGTATTTTAACCACAGCCACGGGGATCATGTTTCATCGCACTTACCTATTCGCCGGTGTCTGCCTATCCTGGGTAAATATGTTACTATCTCCAAATTGCCTAAAATCTGCTATGATTCCACAGTAAATAGCTCAGGGGATTTCTATTTATCACTACTAAAAGGGCACCATAGTATGTTTTGGTACTTTAGGCAGTAAACAGCTGCTTGGTTTATTATTTTATTATTAAATTAGGACAAGAACATCAAATGGATTTGCTGCACTAGTAATTCTTCGTACTGTTGAGCAACTTGGTTTGCTTATCTGTTGTGTTGGTTGAAGAACTCATCCCTTTTTTTTTGTCTTGGAATATGAAGTTAGAGTGCCTTTTTATATTTGTACATTCTGAAAATGTTCTGTGAAATGTTTGGTATTTTTTTTCATTTGAGTGTTATCAGAGCAATATAATACCAGTGAGTTTTCATTTCAGCCTTTCTTTGAATGTGTAGAGTGTCTTTGTCCTCCTTCCCCTTTTACCTGCTTTGAAATGAAAATGAAGATGCAAAGTTTTCTATAGGAATTGTTTGATATTGCAGTGCTAAACTGCTTTCTTTTTACAAAACTGTAAACCATAGGTCAGTGTTATAGGGCAAGAGAGCGTTTTAAGATAGTGACAATCTGAGTGTGTGTATAAAATGTAATTCTAAGCGTTTCTTATGCAGTGATCTAAAAATTCAATGCAAATATCTTTTGTTTGGTAGTTTTGTCTATATATTTTATGCTTTAGCATGTGCAATATATCTTTGTAAAGCGCGATGATACAAATCTGGTGCCAGTGTTATATTTTGCATATTTGTAACAGCATAAAATGTTGTTTGATGATTTCAGTGGGATTTTTGTCTGAAATGTTTTCTTATGTAAGTTGGAGTTGAATGACTCTGGTAAATGCCATGACTGTAAAAATGAGGAAATGACTTTGAACCAATCTGAATCTTCTCAAGCACAGTTTAATACTTTTTCAACTACTGAATGCTAATAATGTAATGAAGTGCTTAACTGTAATATACTATGGAAATGCATTCAGATGGTTATTTTTACAAATAAAAGCGGTACAAATCTTGTTGCAATTTGTGTTGTCTTTAATTTTTCCAGTTATGCTAATTCTTACCACTTATTCTGCTAACTTAAACCTTTGTCCCCTGCCAAAGCCAAATAACCTTAAATTTTGAAAAAAATCAAGATAGAAGTGTATCTCCATGTTTTCTATTTCTGTTTATATAATCACAATTAGAGCAAAAAATTTCAAACAGATATTTTATGTTTATTTTATCTGTTTATGCCTCCAACTTTTTCCATAAAAATTTAAGCTGGTTTGCAACAAAGACATGTGAAACTAGAAATAGAAAAATTAGGACAAGGAAAAAGAATTCAAACAAATATGGGAATCCTAAAATTTAATGCAGTGGCTGTAACTAAACTTGAATTTGGTCTAGACTTCCTTACAGCCAAAGTAAGAGGGAAATGTGATTAACTCTATAGATCACTATATCAGAAAAGAAGAAGCCTAGTAGGTCCTCAAAATTGTGAAATCAACCATGCGTACCTTTGTTGCTGCCACCACTACTCTTCAACTGCTTTGTAGTAACACAAGACCCTACTTCTCAGCACTGTCCTTAAAGATATCCGTAGAATTACTCCTCCATCTGTCTCACCATTCAAAATGTCTCCCCTTGGGTAGTAACTCAGGAACAGTCCCTAGAAGCACTAAGGAACGGCTCCCTAATTGTGGGGTTTCCAGCTGATGAGAAAGAGATTTGGGGCAGGGGGTGGCTTCCCCAGTTCCTCAGATCACAGTGCCCTAGAATGTTAGCAGTTCTCACAGTCTAGCCCAATCACATCACCACCTTTTTCATGAAAACATCCAATCCCAGAGAAGTTATATAATTGCTCAAATTTGTGTAATTAGTGATCTGAATACACACTTGCGCCTATAGATGTCCTCTATGCTGACCTGCCATACAATGTTTTGTGGGGTTTTTTTTGTTTTCTGCTAGAGATGTTCAGGGAGGTTTTGCACTACTCTGCCTTGCCTACTCCTTATTCAAGTATACAAACCTGAGTGTTTCTCAGTCTTGAAGACTATAAAGCATGAATTAGACTGCAGATGAGTATTTCCTGTAGTTTGGAGCAGACTGGGTGTATTAGTTATCTAATGCTGTTTAACAAATTACCTTAAAACTTAGTGACTTAAAACAACAAGTGTTTATCCTGTAACAGTTTCTGTGAGTCAGGAGTCCAGGCATGGTTCAGTTGGGTCTTCTGCCTCAGGGTCCCTCACAGGCTATCATCCCAGTGTTGGCTAGGGAAAGCTCCATTTCTCAGTTCACACATACGGTTATTGGCAGGATTCTTCATGGGTTGTTGGACTGAGGGCTTCAGTCCCTTGATGGCTGCTGGAATTGTATTGTTGGACATCGATGTGGTGCTTTGTCTCCAAACTGCTTGTCAAAGGATTCCTCTCCCTAATGCCATTCAGTAGGTTTAGATCCCTATACATCTATCCCTCAACACACTTACTGTGTTCCAGAATTAGCTTGCAAGGCCAAAGACATTAAGCTAAAAGGCTCTTAACACAACCTAAAAATATTGTGGGTAAAAGTCTCTTTAGCAGATTTCATACTGAAGGTACACTTGCTGTAAAATATGAAGCAGCAAAGATAATGGCTGTGCCATTCATTCATTTTCAAGCACTCCAGGGGGTGATCGAAAAGGTGTGGGCATTAGTGGTTGGCACAGTGACTGGGGAGTGGGAGGGCTTGCTACTAGCATTTGGTGAGCCAGAGATACCAAATGTCCCACCCAGCCCAGTGTACAATCCCTCCACCCCCAATGCCCATATGCGTCCCCACCTCACTGCTCATATACTTGCTCTCCTCTTGTTTCTGAATCATCCCTTCATCAATGTATTACCTGTGAAGCCAGCCATATTCCAAAATCTGTTTTCACAGGGAATTGCATAAAGATGCTCTACTATGCATCCCCTCCTAAAGAGCGCTCCCAAGCTTAAGAAAAAGAACTTCAGAAGGCAATGTCGAGTACATGTTCCCTGGTTGTGTATTTCTCCAGGTGAGATCACATGCAGGTGAGTGGAGGAAAGTGCTACACAGATTTGAAACAAATACTTAATTCCTTTGTTGTTAAATACACAAACGCAGGCCTGTACATGTATATTTCTTGTCTTAAGCAAGGGATGATTGCATCCTCTTCACAGCTGGGGTAACCCTGCTCATAAAGACAGAAACATTTGGCCCACAGTCCCATAGCAAGATCTGGCAACAAACCACTGTTGGCTCACGTGCTTCTCTGGGCACTGGTAGACACAATTTCTAGAATACCATTTTCTACCTTTAAAGGACAGTTTAATGAAGTATGTTTAATATCTAGAAGAGTTTTATAATTTTCAAAAGTAAAAAGTTGAAGCACTACCTAGAGCACAAAAATCTCGCCTGTGTTTATGTTCGGTTGATAAAGCACCCAGCAAAATTGAAAACTTGAATAACTCGTATTCCTTTTAGTTGGGTTCTCTGAGAATTACAAATGTCTAAACTCAAATCTGAATGTGAAGAAGTGGCCAGCCATATAGAGATCAAAGGAGGAAACAGGGAGGGGGAACAGCCAGTGCCAACAACCAAAAGCAGGAATGA